TAGCGAAAATTAGTTATTTGATAACTATTGACCCCAATAACTTTTTGAGCTCAAAACTGAGAAGAACCGTTATCACACTTTCCAACCAGAGAACATAACGATTATAAGAAATAAAGTTAAATATTGCTCCATAACTATTACTGAACAATGGAAAGGTTGTTTTCGTCTCGCGGGACGATAATTTCAAGACGAATATTATTTACATCTTCTCATAATAATTATATGGGATTTTTATTTTTTTTCGTCTCTCGGGACGTTTATTTCAAGGCAAATATTATTTACGTCTTCTTATAATAATTATATGGGCTTTTTATTTTTTTCGTCTCTCGGGACGTTTATTTCAATACGAATATTATTTACGCCTTCTCATAATAATTATATGGACTTTTTTATTTTTTTCGTCTCTCGGGACGTTTATTTCAAGACGAATATTATTTACGTCTTCTCATAATAATTATATGGGCTTTTTTATTTTTTTCGTATCTTGGGACGTTTATTTCAAGACGAATTTTAGTTACGTCTTCTTATAATAATTATATGGGCTTTTTATTTTTTTTCTGTCTCTCGGGACGTTATTCAAGACGAATATTATTTACGTCATCTTATAATAAGTATATCGGCTTTTTATTTTTTTCGTCTCTCGGGACGTTTATTTCAAAACGAAAATTATTTACGTCTTCTCATAAGAATTATATCAGCTTTTTATTTTTTTCGTCTCTCGGGACGTTTATTTGAAGACGAATATGGTTTACGTCTTCTCATAATAATCATATGGGACTTTTAATGAATTAAAATATCTTTATCGAGTTCGGAGATTTAGGACCGTTAATTTATCTCTTTTCAAGTAATTCTATGGAATTTTCTGTAGTTAAATGAAATAAATAAATAAACTATAGCTTAACACAGATACGCTAACAGCCCTTAAAGCGTTAAATATATTTATATGTGACACGTAAAGTTAAAAGAGACCTACGCTCAGAAAAAAAGATTTCGAGAAAAACGACTTTGAAGTTGACCAAGTTGTTTTTGATGCTTCTGATCGTTTTAATGGATTGAAATTCGTTACTCGGGGGTTTTCGGGGTCGCTGATTACGAATCCGATGTTAGTTTTCCAAAATTCAAAATGGCGGATCCAATATGGCGGATGACTTTTTTAAAAAATTGATCGGAATCGCTTGAAACTCATTACCCGATGTTCGCTTTTTAAAATTCAAAATGGCGGATCCAATATGGCGGAAAAAATTTAAAACTTGTTCGGATTCATGTGAAACTCAAATAAGTCGTTGACACCGAAAACGCGGTCAGTGATTACGAATCCGATGTTCGAAAACCCCCGAGTAACGAGTTTCAAGCGAATTTGATTAATTTCAGAATAGTTTGTCAGATTTTACTTTTTTGTACTTTTTTTGTGTGAAGGTACCTAACTTTGAAGTGAAATTGTGAAAAAACTAATGCAGCTAGAAACCTGCGGTTTATTGCATTGGAAAGAGTGGCCCGTTTACTATAAGAGTCGATGAAAAAGTGAAAACCGATTTTTTCTGACCGTAGGTCCCTTTTAACTTTA